CATCCGTGCCGCGCGCCGCGCAGTCGCGCAGCTGGCTTAGGCAGTTGCCCGGTCCGTAGACGTTGTTGTACAGGAGGGCGCTGATCGAGGCGTTGTAGGGCTGGTAGTCGTAGGTATTGCCGGGGTAGACCTGGTGGTTGGAGGGGGGGAGGGTTAGTGAGTCTTGGACTGTGTATATGACGCAAGGAAGAGGCTTACGGTGAAGTTGTAGTAGGCCTGGTACTGGATGATCGGGTCGTACCACCCATTCCCGATCATCACGCTCTCCAGCTGGATCTTCTTGGCCCCGTGCGGGAGATGGGCGTTCTGCTGCTCGATGTACTCGTTGAAGACGGGCCCGTAGTGGCCCCCGTAGCTCTCGGTAGTGAAGTGGAAGGATTCGCGCGAGTACTGCGGGAAGGCGCCCATGAAGCCCTGCAGCGCCCGGTAGAAATTGGGGGCGGCGTTATCGGTCGAGTCGGCCGTCAGGCTGATGTTGGGGTACGAGTAGGTGCCACACGAGAGGCCGGCCGCATAGTCCGGGCAGCTGGTCGAGGGCAGGCTGATCACGTTGCTGGTCTCGGAGTCGACGTAGCCCGGGACGGGGATGCTGTAGGAGAACCCGGTCTGCACCGGCTGGTCGATGTACAGCATGTTGCTCGCATTCGACCACGAGTACGGGTTGTTGTACACGGAGCCATTCGCGTCGACTCCACAGGGGCCGTTCTCCTGGAAAAGGCCGATCATGGACGACGACCCAGGACCTGGACGTTCCGACATCAGAATTATATGGCAAGCGATAGTTCACCGGGGTTGATCTACCTCCATTGATCCACACCGTCAGCGGGGCGTCGTGGGGACTCTGGTTCCGCGCTTCAAAAAACCAGAAGAAGATGTGCTCGTCCTCGGCCACATCGAGGTAGCCAGAGAAACTCTTCACGCTGGGATCAGTTTCGCAAATCCCGTTGGGGACCCGCTTGTACCGAACGGGGACATCGAGATAGCCTTTGGTGGAGATCAGGTCCGTCGGAGGGGCAACAAATTGGGCCTGGGTGAGTGGCCAGGCACCCAGCAATGCGACAGACCAGAGAGATCGCATTGTCACGATGCTCTGAACACTGGAAGTACAAATTATTTTGTATCGTATTCAATGGCAGGGGCTGGGCTTGGCTTGGCTTTTATGCTAGCATCACTAGGCGTTATCTCCAGGGTATCGGAGGAAGATAAAAGGTGTGGAGCCTGGAGGAGGCTGGAGCAATGCAATGCAGTGGAGTCAACAAATTGCCCCAATTAGCGGTGTAACCTCGGCTCTGTACGCGCAAATCAGAGGGTTGCCTTCCCCCTCTTATCAGCACAACGCGGATCAGATTGCATCACCTTGCTATCAATTAAACTCCTTTGGGGTATTTGTTGATGATTGCTCGATGCTTATATGTAATGCTCCCTCCGGAGTCCGTAGGAGATACTTAATGTCTAGTCAGATTATATGTCGTCACTTAAGCATGGCATGCATTTGGCAGCACAATGATTTCACAGAACTTCAAGCCAGCAATGACTATCCCTCGCAACCACAACATCTATTTTACATCGAATCCCACTCACACTCTCCCCGTTGACGAGGTGATGCCTCCATCTACCACCAATTCCTGCCCCGTGATATACCGGGCCTCATCCGAGGCAAGAAAGACCGCCGCATTGGCTACATCCCAGGCATCGCCCATGCGGCCCATGGGCACCTGTGCGTCCCGCTTCCGCATGTACTCCTCCTCGTCCCCACCGGGCGCATACCGCTTCGCCAGTTGCTGCGTGTACGGGGTATAGATCAGCCCCGGCACCACCGTGTTCAATCGCACCTTCTTGGCCGCATAGATGACCGCCGTCGCCTTGGTGAACTGCATGATCGCCGCCTTGGTGGCCGAGTACGCGACCTGCGGCTTGCCGATGTACCGCAGCCCCGCAATGCTCGACACATTGACGACCGATCCCCCGGTCGCTTGCTTCTCCATGAGCGGCAAGACATGGTGACAGGTCAGATAGATGCTCTTGAGATTCAGCTCCACCTGCGCGTCCCAGACGTCCTCGGCCATGGTGGCCGGACCCCCCGGCTCGGACTTGCCGACGTTGTTGACGAGGATGTCGATGCGACCGTGCTTGCGCATGCAGGCGTCGACCAGCGCTTCTACGGAGGTGGAGTCGGTGACGTTGGTCTCCTGGACATCGCACACGCCGCCGGCCTCCTCGATGCGGGACTTGGTGCGTTGCGCGGAGGCGAGCGAGCGGTTTCCGCCGTAGATGAGGGCGCCCTGCTGGGCCAGTTTGGCGGCGATGGCCGCCCCGATGCCCCAGCCTTCCTCGGTGGTTTGGCCCAGGCCGGTAATCAGGACGACTTTGCCGTCTAAGCGGAGCATGATGTGATGTGTGGAGGTGAAAGGAATATTTTGATATTTTGGGTATACTTTGCAAGAAGAAAAGCCAAGCTACTACTAATAGAAGGAAGCTCTGCCCACCGGCTCTTATCAGGGCTTATCGTCGGCGGATCGTATCCGCTACCCTCGGATGCTGTCCGGTCCGCATCCGCCACGAGGACCACAAAGATTGAGACGGATTAGAACGGGCTAACGGATTTTCCCCGGCCGTGCTAATCTTCGCATCCAAACCCTTCGCGGCGAGTCTCCGTTTGATTCATGCATCGGTTGCATAGTGCTTAATGCCAGACTCTTCTCCATTTATTGCACTTGATGGACTCTCCCAGACGCGCGCGCAATCGCGCCGCCTGCAGACGCTGCCAGCGTCGCAAGATTCGTTGCGATGGCATCACCCCCACCTGTGGCGCATGCCGGAAATCGGGCGTTGCTTGCGTTAATGATGGAAAGCAGGAAGTGCATCGCTCGTTAGTCGCTGCCGTACTTCGAGAGCCTAACTACTACCCATACTAATACGATAGCTGTAGGTACATTGCGAACATGGAAAACAGAATCAAGTGGCTGGAGTCGATTGTTCGGGAGAGATGCTCGAATGTCGACCTGAGTAATGGCCCGGAGCGGCACTCAGAGACCCTGGACGAGTCAATCATGGAAGATAGTTTGCAGCAGAACCATGCATCGCCGCAAGAATCACAGCAAAACCCTCTTGAAGCCAGTCAAGCCACTCTGCCGACGCCCGATCAGTCAGTTTCCCAGGCTACAGCTGTCGTGGCGGAGGCGAACGCAGCTACCCTACCCACCCCCGACCAGTCGATCTCGCATCATGCCCCCGTGCAGGACGAGCCACACCAAGCCCACGAGATCGGTCTGGTGTCTCTCTCCCGTGGGAGTGATCCCCGTTACATCGGCCCATCAAGCGGATACTTCTTCGCCAAGCGCATCTTCTCGAATACAGGCTGGCGCGGCCGGCAGGAATCCTCCTCCCGCGGCAATCTGTCTCACCTCCCCGTCGAGTTGCTGAACCCGCCAGCCACGCTGCCACCCCAGAAGGAGGTCGCTGTCGAGCTCTCGACCACGTACTTTCGAACCGTCCACCTCCTGTTCCCATTCCTACACGAGCAGCGTCACATTGAACTGCTGAACGAAGTGTACAGCGCCCCGGAGGAAAACCCAACCAGCACGTTTCAGGTGTATATGGTTTTGGCGATCGCGTCCCTGAACCTCTCCCGTCAATGCAAGCTCCAGCTCCCGGTGGAAGGCTACTATGCGTCAGCGATGAAGTATGTGGACTACGTTTGCCACGATGGGTCGATGGCTGCGCTGCAGTGCTTGTTGCTGCTCATGGTCTACGCCCTGTACAACCCCTCTTGCAACGTTAACATCTGGAATCTGAACTACCAGTGCCTGGCAAGCGTGATAGACTTGGGGCTGCAACGCGACGTTCGCGCCTCTCCGTCTTACCAGATTTCTCTGTTCACCCAGGAGATGCGGACGCGGGTGTTCTGGGTGGCGTACACATTTGACCGCGCGGTCTGTACCATGATGGGTCGACCGATAGGACTCAGGGACGAAGCGTGTGAGATCCGGGTACGCCTGAGCCTTCATACTAGAATCTCGTATTTACTAGTGATGCTGTACTAACCAACGGCAGTTCCCCCTGGATATCCCCGACCGCAACCTCATGGACCGCACTGCCAAGCCGCCCGTATCGCTGGAAGCGCCATCCCACATGTCCTATTCAATCCATCTCTTCAAACTGGCGCAGCTCAACTCCGAAATCAAATACGTCATGCACAGCATCTGCCGCGACGCGCCCGCCTACGCATACCCGCCCGTGAAAGACATCTTCGGCTGGCAGCGGGACATGATGCGATCCCTGCAAGAGTGGCATGCCGCCGTGCCGCAGCACCCCCGGGATCAAGACAACACCGGGATGACCCCGTACTGCCACGCCAAGTACCACGAGACGATGGTGCTCCTGCTGCGCCCCAGCCCGGCGATCCCCGCTCCCGCCCCGGAGATGCTGGATCTGTGCGTCCAGCACGCCTTCATGCTGCTGCAGTGCTTCGGCGATCTGTACGACGCCGGCCGACTGCTGTACAGCCGCCTGGCCGTGCACGCCGTCTTCCTGGGCACGCTCGTCCTGCTGCACGGGATCTGGAAGCTGCCGGACACGGCGACGCGATACCGCACGGACGAACTCATCCGCCAGCTCAACTCCGCACAGAGCATCCTGAGCAGCATCGGCGAGCACTGGGCGGAGGCCGCCAGCGCGCGCGACTGCATCGCCCAGCTGTCCAACGTGACAGTGCAGCGGCTGCTCAAGAGCCCGGCGGGCCCCGGCGAGACCGCGTCGTCGCCGGTGCGCCATCGCCTGCGGGATGCTGGCGTCCCTGCGACCCAGCTGCAGCATGTTGACCAGAGAGGTAGGGCCGGGCAGGGGCAGAGCTCCACTTCTTACGAGGACGACCCCACGCTCTCGTGGCATGCAGGGCTGCCGGGACAGCCTCCTACTGCTGCTCCGTCTCCGCCGTCGGAGTTTCTGAACCTGTTCGACGACCTGCTGCGGTGTGATTTCCAGGGCTGGAGCGGGGTCTCGGATCTGGACGGGTTGATTCGGGAGATATTCAGTAGCTCTCAGCATGAGAGCTGATGGTTTTCATTAGTTACACCAACAAAATATATGTGACTTGTCTGTTTCCTTAGATGGTACAAGTTACATTTCTTTGATTGGATGGGAAAACCATTCACGCAACCCACGCCCAGGAAAAGCCGCCCGGCTACTTCCGACGGAACAAGCCGCGCGCAACCGAGTCTGGCTCTGGCTCTCGGAAGCGCTCCGTCTTCCGTCTCACTCGGATTTCCCCTCCCCCCCACCTTCCCCCACCATAAAAAAAAGACGACCCCAAGATCACCACCAAAACAAACCCCCAATTGACCCTTTCCGCAATCAAACCCCACACAACCACTTCAGGCTCAATTCTCTCACACCATCAACAATGACAACCGCTCCCAAAATGACGCCCGAGGAGACCCTGGCGCACGTGCAAACCGTCAGCGCGACCCAGCGCGCCAACAGCCCCATCTACGCCCACCTCCTGGCGGACGTGACCATCACCGCCGCCACCGAGGGCCACCTGCTGGCGACCATCCGCATCGCCCAGCCCCACATCAACTCCAAGGGCGGGCTGCACGGGACCATGTCCGCGTGCCTGGTCGACTGGGCCGCGGGCATGGTCATCGCCACCTACGGCGGCAGCTACACGGGGGTGAGCACGGATCTGCATGTCTCGTACGTGGCGTCCGCCCGGGAGGGGGAGACGCTGGAGGTGACCGGGCGGGCGATGAAGGTCGGCGGGACGATGGCGTACGTCTCGGTGGAGATCTGCAAGGTGGTGCCGGATGAGACGGGTGGGGGGGAGAAGAGGGTGGTGGTCGCCACAGGGTTGCATACGAAGTTTGTGAAGCAGCGGTGATTGGTGTCCAACTCTGAGAGTTGCGCTATGCTTTGGGTGGATTGGAGATGTGCATGTTCATGGATGGCGTTGTTTCTGCTGAGCTGCTTCTTCAATGGATGGACTACTTCTACATTATAGATGGGGAGGGTGGAATTGTGATTTAAATCCACAGGTTATCTTCATGTCCGTAGTAGAATCTCCAGAGATTAGATTCACAATCAGGACTCCCAACAACTTCTCACTTCAGTAAACACCCCCCGCCCTTTCATCATCACCCTGCCGCGCCTTGCCCAGCAGACTCGCTCGAAGCGACTGAAGCCCCGGCCGCTCTCCCTGCGTATCACCTTCAGCAGTAGCGGCAGCAGCAGTCTGAGTATACGTATCCGGCTGTTTATTCTCGATAATCTCCTCGGCCGCCCCGTACCGCCGCAGCGCTACGAGACCATAAGCATCCAGTGGCTTCCCATCGCTTGGTATCGCCGACGAGCTGGTAGCGGATATCCTCATGTGGCACTTTTAATTCTCATATCCCTATTTCTTTCGCCTATCTACCCATCTGTTCCATGAGCTCCCAATTCGTCACAAACAGCAGGATCACAGGCTTGATTCTGCAGAGTCTGGTTATCATGTGCCCTCTTGGGAGCCAAGCCCTACCGCCGAGACGTTGCTGGAAGTCACGTCGGCAAGGTGAGTGAAAATGGATGAGTCAACAATCTCCGGTCGGCTGTATCATTTTCTGCATCGCAAGCGAAACAGAAGTCTCAGTTTGTAGTCGGGAAGATGATTGTCTTATTGGCGCTGTTATGTTGGTTGCAGAGCATGCTCGTTCTTCGCGGTATGTGACAAGTAGCCTCTCCACCTTGCCTCTTCCCAGGCGTAGAGAAAATAATAGGGGAAAAAAAGACGCAAAGTATTCTACATGCCTATAATCTCATATAGTGAAGAATCGACGAGAAGCGACTCAGACCTTAGCCACGACTTGCGACAAATGTCGGCAGCCAACACGGAAGTATGAAGTCAAAGACGGACCCGGATACGAGATCCATGGATCGACGCCAACTCAACCAGCTAACCACAGACGGGAACAAGATACGAGCAACCTGGTTCAGTCACAATCATAGATCCTCTCTTCAGGCTGTTCAGGTGGTTCAACGAGGATTTCAACCTCGCAACAAGCACGGAACTAGGCCGGAGCTGTCACTGTAGGTGTACATCACAGCTTAGTAGAATCAAGCTCGGGTACAGACTAGTGGTCATAGTTCGGAACGTCTCAAGTGGCTTTCACTACAGTACTGTACTTTGTGGTACGTGCAGAGGAGCAGGCACGTATCTCCCGAACCCACACGAGCTCCTGGAGCTACACTGATATGGTATAGCTCAACCCTGACGAAGGGAGGTCCGGGCGGAAGCCGTGAGGAGCTCGAGATGCCAGGAGCATTTGAAAGCACCATTAAGGTTTGGGTTGGTGAGCCTAATACGAACCACGAACCATTCATCATCACAAGGCTGCATGCGGCCGTCGTGAGCTTCAACGCACAGCCCCCACAGCTGCACCGACTAGACTCTTGGTCCGAGCTTGAGCTTACAGCCACAGCGATCAGTTGTTTGATCTTGGCTTTTGCTGCAATGAGGAAGCGGAATCTGGGCCACAGGCCACTTTCATACGACGGGGGCGGCCGGCGCAATTTCATCCACGTATTGCGCACGGCAGGTTCACTGCAATACTCAAAGTCCTCCTCGTCGTGCAATCACCAGTTGATGGCTGCGCTCCTAGAGACCAGTTACACAGCCATGGTCTCTGGCATGTGAGTTGATATTTGGATCGTAATCCGGCCGCTCCTTCGGTCCCGAATATTGTAAAACTGTGGACCGGTGCTCCAGACCCAGCACTACGGTTGGATAAAACAGACATGGCCAGCTCAGAATACTATGAAGATCCCAATTGTAAGGATTCAGTGTCAGCTTCTCTTTAACGTTTGCGGCTGCTCGTGTTGAAACCGAGCAATCCTTGCAACATCCCCCGGGTGGCAGCTTAGCCTACAACACGAACTTGTTTCAGACGCCTACATCGCGCGAGTCCTTTGTCTTCAGCTCTCCAGCGCCACAGCCAAGCTGAAAAGCTCCGAGTCATTTGACAGGTGTTGCGCAATTACTGCTGAAGAGATAGACATCGGCAGTCGAGTCCAGACCATTGAGCGACCTCCAAAGTGGTAACACACTCTGTCGTGGGATTATTTCTTCCAACTGGTCACTCATGACGGGGTGCACCCTGAACGACATAAATACGGCCTAGTCGTCCCGGTCCAGGGTTCGCTTTTCCTCTCAACAACCTCAACCCCATCACAATCTCACTCAACCACCATATCCAACCAAGCTGGACTCCGTCGCCAAAGACTGGTGTGGAACCTCGATCCGCAACCGACCCAAGCCCATCATCATGTCCGACCAACAGGCGACCCTCGACCCGGGCCGCGCCAGCTTCTTCGACGACCTGAAGGGCGCGGTGGGGCAAGAAGCCCTAAAGACCCTCGACCCCGCAACCGACCTCTCCGACGAACAGCCCGACGAGCTGTCCTCCACCTCCGGAGGCCCAGCAAAGTACACCTGCTCGACCCAGAAGCCCGCCCCGGTGACCTTCACCGATGCCACCAGCACCAGCAGCAGCGACCCGGCGGCCAGGACCGCCGCCCTCCAAGTCGGCTTCGGCAAAGTGATCCCGCGGTGGAAGCCCGGCCCGAACCAGCGCGTCAACTTCGCCGCGTTCGCCAACGGGTACCCGAAGGCCGAGTGGGCAACGCTGGCGGCCAACGCGCTGAAGGCGGCCGCGGACGAGTGGAACCGGCTCGAGCTCGGGGTGAGGCTCGAGTGGGTGGCCCGGCTGGAGGATGCGGCGTTCGTGCTCTCCTACGGCGGCAGCCAGGGCGGGGTGCTGGCCGAGGCCTTCTTCCCGAGCCCGATCGACCTGAACTATCTGAACGTGTACGAGTCGGCCTTCGCCCCGGGCACCGTCGCCTACCTGAAGAACATCTTCCTGCACGAGCTCGGCCACGTCCTCGGCTTCCGGCACGAGTTCGCCCCGGAGCTCGAGGATACCCGGGATGACTACACCGTGCAGCTGGGGCCCCGCAACCCGCTCTCCGTCATGGCCTACGAGTTCCCGCCGCAGCTGCAGACCTCCGACGAGGACAGCGCGCGCGCCTTCTACCGGTTCCCTGGCACGCAGCTCGGGTGGGGGGAGGCGCGGAGTCGGGCGCCCCGGTCCGGGCGGATGCTCAAGATCGTGGATGTGGAGCCGAACAACTAGGCTTGGGGATGGGGTCGGGAGAATGGTACTGACTAGTCTTGCAGTCCTCTCGGGATTCATTTCGATGTGCTTGTTTGGTGCGTCTTCCGTATGTAGCGAATGAGACTGCCATGCTACTCCTCAAAACGCGTCCGAGGATACTGCCCTTGTCGTAGTTGTGCTCTATCTATATCTCATGACCTGAACGCCAACCAGTAGGTAGTCCCAGGAATCAAGATGATTATGCAAGGTCGGAGAGTGGGAACTACCCAGGCCCGTGGGTTGGAAATCCTTCTCACAGTGACCAGCTCTTCAACGCAGTAACATATAACCAGATTTCCAGGCTCTTTTCAACAATTGGGGCTGTGGTTTAGTGGTATAATATTCCCTTAGCATGGGAGAGGTCCGGGGTTCGATTCCCCGCAGCTCCATCTTTTTGTCTTTTTTCTGGGCGGCCACTCCTGTGGACGGCAGCTCTTAGGCGGATGGGCTTGTGTAGGTCCCGTCGCTTTAGGCCGTCAACAAATCGCCTTGTTTGCAGCATCGGCCGGCGCATCGAGTGGATTGACCGCATGGTATACCCGAAGAACAATATGCACTGCCTCGTCTGGTTGGAACCAGGTGTAAATCCTTGAGTTCAAGCGGGTGTGACCTGAAGGCTGGGATCAGGAATATGCGAGGGGTGCGTGACAATCGAGTGACTTGGTCCATGGGCCGGTACAATTATCCCTGGAAAGTGAGCCATCAGCCTTGGTTCTATGTGTGGTGTTGGGGTGTTGGGATGCATGACCAGGAACATGTTCCTAACACGATTATGGGTGATGGTGCTCATCCGGTGTTGTAGACTTGAAAATTTAGGTCCTGGATTCATTGAGGTCCTTGGTGGGGTATGAGATTATTCGTGGGGGGTAGGGTAGTGTAGAGCAAAATCAGAGTGCACAAGGGGAAGCCATGGTGTTATTGATGAAGACGCAAAAGGCAAAAGGAAATCTCCCCGACTGGGAGTCGAACCCAGGTCTCCCGCGCTTGTTCCCGGATGGGATTGACAAGCGGAAATCATGACCGTTAGACCATCGAGGAAGGGATACTGACAATGTGTAATATTGAGATTATCACAGGTTGATACTCGAAACCCCCGAAAGAATGAAAGGAGGCAAAAAGATGGACTCGCCGGGAATCGAACCCGGGACCTCTCCAATGCGAATGGAGCGTTATACCCCTAAACCACAAGCCCTTGTTGTTTAATTGAGTTTGTAGTTCGGTATATGTACCATGGTTTTGAGTCATCAAGTCAATAGACAATGCACCTTATTCAGGTCCAATGGTGTGTAGCCTACTCAAAATCTATTCATTTGGTGGTTAATTATGATATACCAATGAAGTGGATGACTGTAGTGTGTCTAGCTATGTATAGATATCCATCATTCACCTTCGGGCTCTTGTCATCTTTTCCACCAAACAATTCCGCTCGGATATATATACGCACGGGTGAGACTCCGATTGTCAGCCAACACACTGTAACCCAGCCACCAACCAACTAACCTTGATATCGAGGCCTTCAAATCACAGAGTGTAATACATCGAGAACCAGTCCCCTCCAAAGACCCTCTTGGCGAGACTAAGTCCCGATATTCTCCCACTCGTTGTCGCAGTGACACAAGCCGACAGGCAGTAAGCACTAGAAAACATCCCATAGATTGTAATGATACGCTCACCGCTACGACACATCCAGGGCTGGCGAACTATCTCAACATCCTGGGAGCTAAGTTGTACGGCTCCAACACACCATTCAATGCACAAGCAGCCTGAATTAAAGCCCAACCGCAAGCCCCAGAGCTCCCACCACATAGACAGAACAAAGAAAGCCCTGCTACCAAGTCAAAGCCGCACCGCACAAGGGTCCTGTAACTGGCATAACCGGTATACGGCCCTGGCTAATGCCCATAGAGAATAGTCGCGAGTGATGAACACACTGGCATAATGGCACACCGGAGTCTTCACAGAGCGCGAGAAGACCAACACCACTACCAACAAGTGCAGGGAAGCCCCTGTCACCGCATAACTTATGACCTTCCAATCGTAAAAAAAGGATCGATAGTCTAGCCCCAGTGCAACAAGCAATCAGAATACCAGGGAACCAAGCAGCATGACGGTACCCTGTCCTAACTGGCATAGTCCTGTGGGGATGATAGAAGCCACTGGCGTCGCCGTTGGCCCCGCCAAAGCGTTTATTGGAACCGATGAGAAATTTCTTTTGACTATCTCGCAACTTTGGAATGAATACTCTCGATAGAAGCACGGAACACAATCACGATTTGACGTGCCATAGGTAGTCTAGCCCAAGCCTCGGTTGCATCGGAACTGTTTCAGGTTTCAAGATCTCGATTCTCGACTGACACATGGGTACGATCCTGCAGACCCCCTTCTTCTGCTCTCTCTTTTTTTTTTTTTTTTTTTTTTTTTTTTTCATTTTCTTATCAGAGGTCAAGCCCGGATCTCGCGGACCGGGCAGCGGCAGCGCGAGCCTCGGCATGAGCTTCGATGAGTGGAGCTCAGGAGAAAAATCCAGACGGGTGGGCCAATCAGTGCCATTGCTCCGTTGCACCACTCCATCTAAGCGTTGGAACTACCTAACCTATACAGGTTCCCATCGTGCAACCGAGATCTCGTCGCTCGATTCGCCGGGGTGTTCACAGAACCCCCGTTCTGGAGCCGCAGCACTGGAGCCATCATATTTGTGCGGGAGGAAAACAAAGCAAGAACGGGAGATGGATACTATTTAATAAGGGGGGTGGACCCTCTTCGAGTACACCAGCAAACAAAATTAAGACAAGACACACGCAGCACCATGAGCATCACATTCGATGTATTCCGCGGGTCGTCCGAGGGGCGCATCGTCGCGGACAAGGTGACGCGCACCCTCGAGCTGCACGAGGTGTTCATCGAGACCACCCACTCCGGGGTCTGCGGCACCGACGAGCACTACCTCAAGGCGGGCAATGTGCTGGGCCACGAAGGGGTGGGCATCATCCGCGCCCTGGGGGCCGGGGTCAAGTCCGTTCAGGTCGGGGATCGTGTGGGATTCGGCTATACGCACAGTATCTGCGCCTCCTGCGAGGAATGCGCGACCGGTATGTCTTTTCCAACGTTTTTTTTTTTTTTTTTTTTTTTTTTTTTTTTTTTTTTTTCGTTTTTATTATCGGTGGTGTGTCCGAGAAGGCAACTTACCCCGAGAATCCTAGGCCATGATCAGTACTGCCCGAACGTCAAGATGTACGGGTTCCACGACCGGGATAACGGCTCGTTCAGTTACGGCGCGGTCTGGGACGAGAACTGCGTCTACCGCATCCCCGACGGGTACGACTCGATCCACGCCGCCCCGCTGATGTGTGCGGGTGCCAGTGTGTGGGAGATCTTCATGCAGTACGGGGTGCGGGCGACGGACCGGGTGGGGATCATGGGCGTCGGCGGCCTCGGCCACGTGGCCATCAAGCTCGCCAGCGCCATGGGGTGCCAGGCTGTGGTGCTGTCCAGCTCCGAGGCGAAGAGGCAGGAGGCGATGGAATACGGGGCGTCAGAGTTTCATGTCTTCCAGTCGGGGGGCCCGGTGCCCGCGGGGTTCCGTCAGGTGAAGCATCTTCTGCTCTGTGGGAGTGCTGATGTGGACTATTCTTCGTAAGTGGCTGTCGACCCTGTCTTCGCTCCTTCTGAACTTGTGCCATTAGCACCCAGACTGCATCCAATGGTCTTACTGACGCACCGCTAGTTTGATGCCATTGGTGGCGACTCGCGGCAGCATCTACCCTCTCACGCTTACCCTGAAGCCCGCCCCGGTGCCCCTGGCCCGCCTCTTCCTTCGTGGCATCAAGATCCAAGGGTCGTTGGTGGCCTCCCGCCAGAATATCCGGTCCCTGTTCGAGTTTGCAGCGAGGAAGAATATCACCCCCACGACTATGACCTTCCCCATGACGCCAGCGGGCATTGAGGACGCGATGAAGACTCTGAGGGAAGGGAAGATGAGATATCGGGGAGTCTTGGTACGGGACCTGCAGTAGGACCAGGTGTCATCAGGCACCGATATTGATCTGTATTGTACATACGAAGCGAAGAAGAACAACAACAAATCAAATAGATTCAAGGCACCAAGTGCGTAGCAACACCCCAGATCTCAAAATCAGCAACGCCCGCTGAATGTCAGCCATATGAACGCCAAAAACAAGACATCATTCGTTACCAGCCGGACAGGATCAGACTGCATTCTGGGCGGAGATCATATGTTCAATCGACCGGGCGGTCTTCCTCCGCAGCATATACCACCCGCCCATCGTGACGACAGTCAGCGAGACGGTCAGGACGAGCAGGATCCACCACTGCGACGAGATGTAAAGCTCCGAGTGGCCCGGGGTGTCTCCCTCTGAGCGAGACGGCCCAGCGATAATATTGGTGCCTAGTATGGTCTGGGGGTGGATGTGTGCCTGTTAGCCCTAGTTTTCACCGTTGAGACTGCAGATAGGGCACCCACGGCAATGAAGGTTCCAGGGAGGAAGAGCATGGTCACCACCGAGATGGTGCTCATCGAGGCGCTTTCATGCATGGCATACTTGGTCATCTTCGTGCTGGATTGAGTGTTGATCCGCGAGCTCATGTTGAACAGCTGTTCAGTGTAAGTCGTTGCAACTGACCAGGAAAAGGAGATATCGTGCTATTGAACAGGGGCTTCTCACCAATTCCAGCAGCCGCTCCACCCGCCTCGCAACATCCTCCACCGACGACTTGAAGTAGGCGATCTGATTCTCGAAGCGATCGAATTCCTCCTCCATGCGGAAATACAGCCAGTCGCGCTCGGGGACGCCCGCCTTGCCCTCGACGAGGGTCTGGAAGGTCTCGTGCTGGATGCGCAGCCGCGCAATCACGCCCAGAATGAAGCTCATCTGGATCTTATCCTGGTCGAGGCTGGTCAGGGTGAGATGGAGCTTGTGCAGGTCGATGCGGGCGAACTCGTCCATGCCCCCGTGCACCCTCGCCTCCTCGTCGCGGATCGTATCGCGCGGCTCGCGGGCAGCCCGCCGGAAGTACTGGATGGTCGGGTTGAAGTGCATCACCGAGGTGATGAACGGGTTCTTCACGAGCGCGGCCGTCGTGGGCTCCCGGACGAACGCCTGCAGGTTGTCCACCAACTCCTCGTGCAGGCGCTGCGGCAGGTCGTTGAAGGATCGGTACTTCAGTAGGACGAGCGTCGACTGCGACCGCGCGTCGTATCGCGTCACGATCGTCATCTTGAGATCGGCTTCCTTGCCTAACCGTCGCACGTAGGCGCGGGCTCGGATTGCGTACCAGAATTCTAGAACACGAGCACCAAAAAAATATCCATGAGACGATTGGTCTATGTTGCCATTGGCGAGTCCTTCACTCACCGAAGGAGCGCATCTTTCCATCCTCATCGCGCTGCTGTCGCGAGCCGAAGATCTGTTCCTGGCCACGGATGTGGGAGGCCGCGGCGGGCGCGATGTCGTATCGCGTCAGGATCTTCAGAAGGCAGCTGCGTGTGATGTTGAGCTGCGATGGCACGCTCTCCTCACTCTGGTCGAGAGCCTTCTCGTTGTCGGGCTCAGTCACCCGATCACTGATGAGTTCGTTGGTGAGCAGTGCCTTCAGGACCGCAGGATCGTCGATGGTGTGGAGTAGTCTCTCCTGTGGGGTCGGCTGCAGCAGAACAATTCGGAGCTGGGGGTGGTGCTCTGCCTGCGCTTAGGGTTAGTATACCGTACGTACTGGATGGACTCTTTGCGACCGGGCAGAAGTTAGATAGATGGATAGAGAGGGGTAAATACAGCTAATAGTCGATCCATCTCTGCATCATCGCAAAAGCGGGCCGACCCCAGGCCATGGTCATGCTCCAGGACCATCACATTCGAGACGGGCGCATATTTCTCGGATCGCCACGATCGGGACTCCTCCTTCAGCTCTCGCTGGCAGAAGCTTCCATCGTCCAGGCCCGAACAGTAGGATGGCAGCGAGAAGGGGTACTGCGAGTGTATCGACATCCCATAATACAACCACTATCGCGGGGAGTCTGTATGCGGCAAAAGACGATCCAGACATGGCGACGCGAAAGGAAAAAGAGGTCTTATGAGCCTTATCACCATTGCCGTAAGGCTGTGAGGCAGGCGCTTCACTTTTCTCGCCCATTGCCTTGCCAAACATGGATTTAGCTGCATGAGGCTGGCATATGCGCCAACATGCGCCAACATGCGCCAAGTCCGCACCGCCTCATGAATACGAGAGGCTGCAATCATCCGCCTGCTTCAAGCCTTATCACCACCGCAAATCCCCGCACGCAGTCCTTCTCCTTCCCCTGCATCTTCACCCCTTCACACCATCCCATAAACTAAAAATAATGGGTGACGCTGCCAGCCTGCAGGTGCCCTTCTTCACCTTCCCTCCCCAACAGCCCGGGGAACCTTCCACTCGCAATTGGTATCAAGAACTTCTGGACCATCCGGAATGTGCCAACAATCCCGTATGTGGTGGTGTCTATCTATATTACCGCGGTGCTATAGCCAGCCTTCCAGACTAACGCTCTCCCACCGCACAGGCCAAGATACAAGAAGCCTACGAATCCTTCCGAACCGCAAGCCTAGAGCGATCGATTGGCCTGCTCCGCCCGAGTGGACGAGATGGCAGCACTGGCGACCGTAATAGTAGCCATCCTGTCCCACCAGCATCGCAGCGCATCACTCCCGACAAAGCGCTCATCCGCTACCTCAAGCTGCAAACCGACGAGACGGACGCAGCCCAGGAGATCGAGCAGCTGAGCCAGCAAGATGTGAATTGCCTGGTCATCTGGACGCGTCCCGACCCACCGATCATGCGCCTGCTCCTCGATATCCAGCGCCGGTTGTCGCGATTCGTAGGGCCTGGTGAGCTGCTACCCTACCCTCCAGTAGACAAAGCCCTCCAGTAGACAAAGAATGGGACTCCAAACCCACCGCATCTGTCTATTCATCATGTAGTTTCGAAGTATATCTGACCCAGCGACCCAGACCTCCATCTCACCCCACCTGCATCCCTCCATCTCTCCGTCATCGAGCTCTCCCACCGCCACCCGATCGCCCACCTCCGCGAGGTCTACGCCCACATCGGCGAGCCGCAACTCAAGGAGCTCCTCGACACCCCCCGCAACGAGTACCACCGAGACCAGCGGCACATCGCCCGCCTCGTCAAGCCGAAACTCCTCTTCGACAAGCTAGGCGTGGCGATCAGTTTCGTCCCTGCCGCTGCGGACGACGACGACGACGACGAGAGCCCGTACACGTATCATCATCTCCGGAACCAGCTGCATACGAGGGCGCTGACCACCGGGGTGAGCATCGATACGTGTTATACGGCGCCGATTGCGCACGTCACGCTCGGTCGGTTTGTGGGGACTGCTTTTTTCCAAGGGGAGGGGGCGGGGGTCGGTGATGGCCCGGGCAAGGCGGAAGAGCAAGAGAGAAGGGCGATGGAGCGGTGGGTGGGTCTGATCATGGAGATCAATGAGGAGTTGGAACGGGAGTGCTGGGGGCAGGTGGTCTGGGATGTCGGGCGGCGGACGGCGTTGGAGATTCAGTTGGGGTATATCAAGTTCGGACGTGGGGTGGAGGAGGCTGAATTGGTTGGGGTGCCGATCGAGGAGTAGTGATGCTTGAAAATTAGCTTAGAGTTGACAGGCTGGAGGGGAGGGTAAGATGCGATGCATTCGGGTTAGAATCCATGGTTAGAGTAGGGGTGACATAGAGGGTGCATTTTGTCGTTAGATGGGACGAGGTGCGATTTGATGCATCGCTCTGACGATCACAGGCTGGTTTTACTTTACCAGGTGTAGCAGTCAATTGACCCCACACCTAGAGGTCTAAAAGATCCTAAATGCTATCGATCTCCTGGTTGAGTGGATCACGACTCGATTGCAGTCACTGTTGGTGAGTGCAACTCAGAACGCTTGGGGCGGGCTTTGCCCGTAAAAAGTCTAGTATAGTCGGACTGTTCACATGGTCGTGCTAGATGAAGAGCACCTAGGGCTTGAGTCGGTAGACTTGAAGCCACTGTATGAGTCAGGGTAGGACGGGAGAGTACTCCTGAGAAGAATTTAAACGTCCTTGGGAAGCACAACTGATATCAGAAGAGGCACTGAACATCGGAAACTTGGACCGGTAGATGTGCAGATTCGAATTAAGGGTAGTCGGAGTTGGCATATTCACAGGAAATGTAGCAGTGTGTGCAGCTCACTGTCGCCACCAATTATAGCCCACTAATTTCCACAGACTGCAACACGACTAACACGAATAATTTAAAGTACGCTGGGGACTACATACCAGGTTTGTATCACCCGCAAGATGTGATGATGAAACCATGACTAGAAAATGGGAAACCCCTGTAGGTGGTGGTGGTTGTTGCCATAGTTCGCTTGGCGCACGCCATCACGAGCAGCACCCACTAACAAGCTTTATCAATCACCCACAGCTCGAGATCTGCCTGCCCTACTTCTTTCTCGGCCGGTACATGCATAACGCAATTGAGGCCAAGAACAGCGTGACAAACCACTCACAGTAGAGCAATGGCCAAACTCTATCGCCTCACAGTATATACTTAAATCGATGCTCCGGTATCAACACCAAGAAACCAATCGTCCACAACGGCCATTGAACAACCACCCCCATATTATCCATAATGACGGTAATAGATCTGGTGCCCCAGGGCACGGCCTATGGTCTCCTTATCGGCCTGGGCGTCCTCTTCTGCGGGGTGATCCTAGTGGCGATCAAGATCCAGAGAGCGTATCTAGCCGAGGATTCAGGAACATCTGAGATGTTCATGGTCGCAAACCGCTCGGTTGGCACAGGACTGACGGCTTCAGCGGTCTTCTCATCATGGATGTGGATCAATGAGACGGTTTTGTCGGCCGCGATGTGCTATCGCTACGGACTAGCGGTTCCCCTGGTAAGGCATGCAGCCCTAACCTTGGACGAGCGGGCGTTGACACTCAACCTTGACAGTGGTGGGGATCCGGTCTCTGCTTCCAGATCGCATTGATGGCAGCGCTTGGTGTCATGGCCAAGATCCGCGTGCCCTATGCCCACACTTCCCTGGAAATCATCCGCATGCGATACGGATGGGAGGGCCACATCATCTACATGGTTCTCAACCTGACCAACAATGTGTTCGGCTGCGCTTCGATGATCTTGACGGGGTCGCAGCTCATCCACGGCGTTTCGGGAATGAACTTTGTGGCTGCCACCATTCTGATTCCCCTCGGAGGTAAGCAAAGACATTCAGCGGAGAGTAAGGTGGTGCTGATTTCCAATGGTATAGTGGTGCTCTATACTGCCGTCGGCGGCCTGAAGGCAACTTTCCTCACGGACTTCCTTCACACCACTGTCGCTTTGATTCTCATCATCTACTTCACGCTCTCAGTCCTGACTCACGACGCTGTGGGCGGGTTGTCTGGTCTCTATGATAAAGTGGTCGCAACCGCGAGCGAGAATTACATTTCTGGAAACTATGAGGGCTCTCTGCTTACCATGAAATCGAAAGATGCCATTATCTGGGGCCTCATCTTGAAGTTCGGCAACCTCGCGCTGGTTGTCATGGTAAGTGCCGGCAGTCGACTTCTCTCTCTGCGAGACATGAATCTAACCGCAACCCGCAGGACACTGCGTTCTGGCAGAAGTCATTTGCCAGTGAAGTCAACTCCACCGTACCGGCCTACAACCTGGCCGCCGTCGCCGTGTTCGGCATTCCGTGGGGTCTAGGCACGGTGATCGGGCTGTCTGCGCGGGCGCTGCACAACACTCCCATCTTCCCAACCTACCCCGGTCCCCTCACGGCCACGGAAGTGAGCACGGGGATGGTGATGCCCTACCTCGTGAAAGCCCTGCTGGGCAACGCGGGGATGGTGGCCTTCTTTGTGCTGCTCTTCATGGCCCTGACCAGCACGGTCTCCTCCTCGATGATCGCGGTCAGCAGCATCCTCTCCTTCGACATGTACAAGACCTACATCAACCCGACCGCGGGGGACCGCCGGCTGCTGCACGTCAGCCATATCGCCGTCGTCTTCCACGCGATCTTCATCACGGGCATCTCCATCGCCCTCAACTACGGCGGCGCCAACATGACCTGGATCGGCTACTTCCGGCCCATCCTCTCGTGCCCCGGCATCATCCCGCTGGGGCTGACCCTTTTCTGGTCCGGCCAGACCCGCCTGGCCGCCATCCTCGCGCCCGTGCTGGGCTTCTTCACAGGCCTGGCCATCTGGCTGGCGACGGCCAAGTCGCTGTATGGCCGCGTGGACATGACCACGACAGGCGAGGGGCTGCCGGCGCTGTACGGCGCCATCGGCTCCTTCTTCTCGCCCGCCCTCTATTCGGTGCTGATCTCCCTCTACCGCCCCTACACATTCGACTGGCGTGAGTTCCTCCGCATCGAGCTCGTCGCCGACGATCAGAGTTCTGTCTCCGAGTCGCAACCAACCCGCAACAACGAATCCCGCGAGGACAAAAAAGAAGGACCCGAGCCCGAAACCAAGAGCGTCTTCGTATCCGCCACCTCCCCATCCCCCTCGCAGTCCCGCCTCAGCCTCGACGAGGTCATCCACCCGTTCTCCCCGGAGACCCTGCGGGAGTTGTACCGCTGGTCGCGCATCGCGTGGGCCACCTTCGTGGCGCTCGTGCTGATCACCTTTGTGCTGTGGCCGATGCCGCTGTACCGGGATTACATCTTCACCAAGTCGTTTTTCGCCGGGTGGACGACGGTGGCGATCATCTGGCAGTTCTGCGCGTTCTTGGCGGTGGTGGTGTATCCGCTGTACGATGGGCGGGTGGAGATCGCCAAGGGGGTTCGCGGGGTGTGGGCTTCGAGTCGGCGGGTTTGGGAGGGCCGGAAGAATTAGTGGGAGATTCTATGGTTGTATAGAGATTGTATCGATGCTTAGTTTCGATAGAGGTAGGTCAAGTTGATGAAAAATGAATTCCGTCATGCTGCTGCATAGTTTATCGGACCCTGGAAATCGAGTGTGGAGAAGCCAGCCGAGCAATTGCCGAGCCTTGCCGAAGCCGGACCCACCGGCAAATCCTGCCTTGCGCCCTGCGGATTAACCGAGTTCTTAAATCCAGGGCAGGCTGGGCTGGGGTAGGTAATTTGGAGCTGCATTCAACCAGTTTACCAGTCACCCAATCGCTGCAGCATTGCTTTAGGTAATAGAATCCCTGGATTGCTGATCCTCGCCCACCCTCGACCACCCTCGTGACAGACAGCCACTCACCGTCATAAACGTCGAAGTACTCCTTCGAACTACCCCCTCACCCGGACAGAGTCGACGACACACCTGTATGCTACTCAAAGACACCAGGGCTCAATTGTCGACATCCTCTCCACTGCAACAGCCCCCTTTTCTTCTCCAAACCACCCATGAATGAGCAAGAGTTCCTGGCCCGCCTCCCGCCGTGGCTCAGCCACTGGCTCGGCTACCGCGCCAGCCCTCCCCAGCCCCTGCCCAAGTATCAAGTCTGGCTGTGGTCGTTCATCTCCGCCTTCTGCGGGCTCTGCGTCGTCCAGGCCATCTTCAACTACTCCCACTACTTCCTGGACCGTCACGTACCGGGCATTATCGCCTCCTATGTTCGTTCTCCTTTTGCCCCTGTCCCTTGATCATACTAACAACAATCAAGGGCGCTTCCGCCGTCCTCGTCTACGGCGCCATCGAAAGCCCGCTAGCGCAGCCGCGCGCCCTCATCTTCGGCCACTTCCTGAGCGCCCTGGTCGGCCTGTGCGTGACCAAGCTGTTCAGCCTGATGCCCGACGCGGAGCGGTTCGAGTCCCTGCGCTGGCTGGCCGCCGCGCTCTCGTCGGCGCTGGCCGTCGTGGTGATGCAGGTCACCGAGACCACCCACCCGCCCGCCGGCGCCACCGCCCTGCTCCCCGCCACCAACGAGGCCGTCTGGCAGCTCTCCTGGTACTACCTGCCCGTCGTGCTGCTCTCCTCCACCATGCTGCTCGCCGTCGCCCTGCTCGTCAATAACTGCCGGCGCCGGTACCCCGTCTTCTGGGTGGCGCCGGTCACGCCGAGGCCGGCGTTGCCGCGGGCGGAGGCGAAGTAGGAGGTGCTTTTGGGGGGCGTCGTGGGGTGGATTGGGGTTGTTGTTGTTGGGATGGGTCTCTTGCACGGGTTTGCGGGCGTTGATTGGGCCTAGATGTTAGAGGTTGGGTGTTACGGTCAATGAGCCTTGTGTAATGATGCTGCGGAGGTTACTCTGGTTCGGTGTTCACAAAGAAAAGCTATGTTGATGAAAGATATAGATGCTTAGGAGACGAGATATTCATTTCTAATTTCCAGGATTCAGAATAGCTAATAATCAGAACATCCTTCTCAGCACAAGATGGATCGCGGATGCAGTAACCTCATAAATAACTCCCGCTCTCTACTCCGTGTCCACCGTCATATTCACCACCGCCCCGGTGTCAGCAACCCGGGACATGATGCTGCTCAGCTGGCTCGTCGTACACGAGAGATTGAGCGAGACCCGGTGCAGGTTCGTCTCTGCTGTTTTCTCATAGCTCGCGGCGGGGACTGAGACACGTGGAGAGGACGCCCGGGGCATTAAGTCGAGCTCGGCCATGGTGAGGAATGGATGCAGCGGTTCTGTG